AGCCCTAAAGCACCACGTACGCGTAAATATTTGAGGTGACCCACGTCGATCTCCGGGATCCTAAGCAGGCTTCTGAGAGTCAGCACTGACCCTGAGTGGCCTGAAATGGCCTGGAAGTCACAAACCTATCTCTAAGGGATCCCTTGCCGCTATGCCGTGCGTAACTTTTGGTTCTGTTTAACAGTTTTTGTTCACGTTTGCAGCGCTTCCCTTTACACGAAAAACGAGAAACTTTTGTTCACACTCGAGTGAACAAAACATGTTCACACTCGAGTGAAGAAAACACCTCCTCTCACTGGAGCAAAGATGAATTACTTCCGATTCACACTTCACACATTCACTCTCCGCCGAATGCCCAACTCAGCTACGATCGGCGGCTGGGATACCTAAGTCCTATGCATTTCACGTAAAACCTCTGCATGCATGCGTGAATGGCGGTTTTAGCAGGGTGATCCGATCAAATGGAGCGTTTTTCACCTCTTAATGGGTAGGTAATGATCATGAGCGTCGAGCGTCTGCACAGGGGCCCTCTGCAGTGCGTCGGCAATCGCAGCCACTATAATTCTACCAGTCGTTTTGTTATGAAATTTCAAAATTTCGAATTTTTCTGTAAAAAAAATTACATGTCATAGCTAGCCTAGAAGGAAACCTTTGTCACCATGGGATTCCTCGCACCATTGCGCGTCGAATGATATGTAAAACGAGTGATTTAAGACTGGGGAAAGGCAAGTTTTGACACAAAAGTTGATTTTGCCCCCCCAACCGAAAATCTCTGGCGACGCCTATGTTTGCAGCCATTCTATAACTCAGGAACTACTGGACCGATCGGAATGAACGAAACACCATTCGAATCAGAGGGTGCGATTTTATCAGCCGTTTCGAAGCTCGTGGCCCCAGGTGACCTCGGTGACCTCAAGAGGTCAACTCGGCATTGACGCCTATTGCAGCCATTCTATAACTCAGGAACTACTGGGCCGATCGCGACGAAAACACGAAAACACTGATGAAATTGCATACGCTGATTCGACTGGTGGTGTTTTCGTCGCGATCGGCCAGTAGTTCCTGAGTTATAGAATGGCTGCCATAGGCCACAACACGGTCATGCGACCTCCCAAGGTCACCGAGGTCACCTGAGGTCACCATATTCTAATCGGCTAATGAAATCGGATACGCTGAATCGACTGGTGGTATTTTCGTCGCGATCGGCCCAGTAGTTCCTGAGTTATAGAATAGCTGCAATAGGCGCGAAAATGTAAAATTGACCTTTTGAGGTCACTGAGGTCAACTGAGGTCACCATATTCGAAACGGCTGATGAAATTGCATACGCTGATTCGACTGGTGGTGTTTTCGTCGCGATCGGCCCAGTAGTTCCTGAGTTATAGAATGGCTGCCGTAGGCCACAACACGGTCATGCGACCTCCCAAGGTCACCGAGGTCACCTGAGGTCACCATATTCTAATCGGCTAATGAAATCGGATACGCTGAATCGACTGGTGGTATTTTCGTCGCGATCGGCCAAGGAGTTCCCGAGTTATAGAATGGCTGCAATAGGCGAAAACGTAAAGTTGACCTTTTGAGGTCACTGAGGTCACCTGAGGTCACCATATTCGAAACGGCTGATGAGATCGCATACGCTGATTCGACTGGTGGTGTTTTCGTCGCGATCGGCCCAGTAGTTTCTGAGTTATAGAATGGCTGCAATAGGCGTCAATGCCGAGTTGACCTCTTGAGGTCACCGAGGTCACCTGGGGTCACGAGCTTTGAAACGGTGCAGACTGCAGGTAGGTATGATTTATTTGCTCGGGGCACAGAAGGCTCGGATCGGTTATAAGGTACTTTCCAGTTTCCACGCGTGTGTTAGGTACAAAAACGAGGGAGCTTTCGAGTTCCGAGGGAAGATGCGTGTGACGTGAGTGTTACGCTAACAAGTACCTACGGCCTACCTATCACTGAGCAGTGCGCCTTTGTCGTCAGCTGTATCTATAAATGCTCGACTACGACTATACTTGCCTAATTCATGACGCGTGTCATTTATTTGTGTCAAGAGTGCAGTCGAAGAGAGTAAACACACATAAAGCTCTACAATTAGTTGTCACACTCAGCAATCGCTAATCATGATCCATTTCGCAGGGATCCATAGCCGGGCCGATCCTCTTCAGCCTGCTAACGAACGACCTGCACTGCCATCTACCGGACTGTCGGGTGATCGCATATGCTGACGATGCCCAGCTGCTCGATCACTCGCGTCCTGACCCTCAAAATTTAGCATCACTAAAACAACGTGTCGAAAACTCCTTGGATGTCATGAAACACTGGTTTAGCTCAAATTCTCTTAAAATGAACCCTCAAAAGACCGACTTCATTCTCATCGGAACCCGCCAGACTCTCAGCAAGATCGAAAACTTTCATATCTGCATAGCTGAGTCAGTCTTAAAACCGTCACCAACCATCAAATTGTTGGGGGTGACTGTCGACTCGTGTTTGGCCTGGGACGCCAACATCAGTCACATCGTCAGGAGGTGCAATGCCCTCCTCATATCCCTCTCCAAGTTCCGCCACCATTTTGACCAGGAAACGCTAAAGTTACTCATTGAGACCCACGTGTTCCCTCACATTCTGTACTGCATTTCGGTGTGGGGCGGAACCACAAAAAATCAACTCACTCGGATCCAAAAACTCATCAACTTCAGTGCTCGGATCGTGACAGGCGTGCGGCGTCGGGAGAGGATCGGGCCGGCTCTGGCATCCCTGGGCTGGCCCAGAGTGGAGCGGTTGGTGTGGGAGAGGGACCTACTGAAGGTGTGGAAGGCGCTCCACATACCAGCTTACCCTCTCTCCATCCGCCGCATGTTTGTGTCCCGCTCTGAGGTGTCTGGCCGGGTCACACGCTCTGTAGAAGCTGGCGCCCTGGAGCTGCAGAAGTGTAGGCTCTCTTCCACACAGAGAACGTTTAGTTACCGCGCTGCTGCCGCGTGGAACCGGCTGCCGCCGGCCGTCAGGGAGCAGCCCACGCTGACCGCGTTTCGCCGCGCAGTGGCGGCCAGCGAAGCCTGAGGTCTTGGGGTGCTGTGTTTTATTCCGGTTTTAGTGCAATTAGTTGTCTTATTTTATCTGCCAGTGCCTATTGCCTTCTTGCATTTTACTGTATTGTGCATGACGCTGAATCCTGAAAAACCATGTTATGTGGATGGATTTTAGATCAATACATACATACATACATACATTTCATTACGTACCTATTACCTAATTATAAAATCATTAGGTAATCCTCGGACTAAATTCACTGTTAGTATAAAGAAAACACAATACAAAGAGCCAATGGGCATAATACCTGCTGCCGGTAAAATCCAGCTCCATAATGTGGAGGTGAATTTGGTGGTTACAACACCTGACAGCGATTTTTTTTCCATTACCGGCGTATCTAACATGCCTCAGCCTATACCTAGGTACATAAATTGAACCTGAAACAGCGGTGGCTCGACCTACGAGCACTTCCGCTTGCGGTCGGCCCCTTTCGGTCGGTGCCACCCCACCAGTAGCGTACCTACACCCGTACACCGTGTCGGTCAGCTCACCACCTCGTCCTCACGGACACACACACCGCATACAGACGTTACTGGCGACTGTCGGACTGGAGTGAGGCGACTGGGTCACTGCTGCAGCGCTGGCGGCCCCCCGGTCACCGGACCCAGCGGCGGTGGCAGCTCGCCACCCGGCGCCATCGCGTGCACCGTCCGCACGTGCGTCATCATGTTGCTTTTGCGCGAGAACACCTTCTGACAGAACGGGCAGGCGGTCTCGCCGCGGTGCAGACTCCTGTGGTGAATGAGCGACGTCTTTATTGTGAACGTCTTGCCGCATATGTTGCACGTGTGGCCGCTGCCGGGAGGTAGAGCCTGGCGACCGATCCAGGTGGGTAGTCCCAGCAGACCTGCGGAACGGAATGACCCTCCGGTCAGAGGGCGACACAACATGGGACGGCTACCCGGTCAGAGGGCGACACGACACGGCCTTCCGGTCAGAGGGTGACCCGGCACAGCACGGTATGGGCCACGGTCAGACGGTGATACGACACGGCGACCGGACCCACGCTCAGAGAGCGATGCGACACGGCACGACACGGCCCTCCGGTCATGGGGTAACACGACCATTATCATAGGCACGATACAGCCCGGCACCCAACCACAGTAAGGCACATAGCCACAGCACGTAACTACGCAACAAAGCCACGGCACACATTGTAACACAGTGCAGCGGCCAGCGGGCACAGGGTCCCGGCGCATCAAGAACAACTTCTTTCGGTAGGTAGGGGTCCCTTTAGCGTACCACTGCATGGGTTTTACAGCGTCCCTGAGCCAAGCGGCCGAGAATTAGGCATCCTTGACAGATGGTAAGAGACGTGCTGGTGCAAAATATCCCAACTTAAAACGTTCTGTACCCCTAATAAAATTTGGCAAATCGCGACCCATTGGGGAGCAGATTCCGCCCTCATGAAAACTCCCAAAACAGATAGCCAAAAGAGTGTCCCTGCCCGTTCAGATGCGAACAGCTGTGATGTCCCGATGTTGATGTTAAAGTCCAATGTCCCAATGTTTCGTTTGATGTTGAGTTCCGAACAGACGTGCCCGTTTCAGTCTGGCCTGTAATGCCGCTCCTTGGCCGCTCTACTCCCGCCCATTTGTCATATTGCTCAATAGTAGCCAGTATAGGTAGGTATTGATGACTATTGAATCTGCCCGGTCATTCGTCTCGCCATTCGGTGATACAAATCCACGTTTCGGCTTAAAACAGAGGATCCAAATTGCAATGTCGTCTTACTTTAAGATGTGCTTCCACGGCCAAACGTGGCGTGCCGGTTCACCGCTCACAGCCCGTCCAACGACCACCGTCCCTAATGGTTTACCGGTCCAGCCGCCTTTTAGCCCTTCGATCGACCCGTCCATTAGTTTGTCGAACGGTCCATACGTTCTGCGCCGGTTCACCGAGTAGCACACTGGTCTGCTATTGGCTCAATATATTATTTTATTGACACATCAAGCTTGCAAGCCGTGTTACAATTTCGGCCCCTGGCACGGGCGGAAGTTTGTGCCGAGCTTGAGGTGCCCGGGCGCAGCAAATCCGCCGCCGCCTAAGCGGTGAACTTAACCTCCACCGTCTGTTGCGGCTCCAGCCTCCAAAACCAAGCCGGTGTGAAATTGGAAGAGGTCACTGGTCAGTCACCCTCATCTCGGCACAAACTTCCACCCGCCTCAGGTTACTATAAAATCAGGTCACTAGTTTATGCTGCAGGCTTCAAATTGACCTTTAAACATCAGAATTAGGTCATAGGTGCAATTGCGTCTCGCGAAAGAAACAATTATAGTTATTTAAGTGACGTACACGAGTTGTATAAAAGGCTATTGCAGAAAAAAATGTTATCTCATAAAGCGCCAATTTTGATGGTTTTCGTCCTCTTGGCTTCAGAGGCTAATCTGTAGGTTGCTACTGAGGACACATTAGTGAAAGAGCTTTAAAAGAGCAGTATCGATCCTAACACAGCACGCAGCGTCGCAAAGTTACTTCTATAGGGAGAGGGGCTGGTACGGTTCGTGCGGCAACCACTGCAGTGGGCTGGTGCGTGCCCGACCGACCACCACTGGGACTTGTGCATCATGAGCCTGCAGGCCACCACTGAAGCATGGTGCACGCTAGTCTACAGTGACTTCTGGAGGGTTTGGTTCGCGCGCGTTCTGTCACCACTGGGGCTGGTATGGACCCGGCCGGTCACCACCGGGCTGGTGCGGGACTGCCCGGTCACCACAGGGCTGGTGCGGTCCGCCGGGCGCCTGGTGCTGGTCGCCATGCCGTCTCGCCAGGTGTGCGCTGAGACCCGAGGTGCGGCTGAAGACGCGGCCGCAGAGCGGGCAGCGCGTGCGACCCTGGTGGACGGTCAGAGGGTGACCCGGCACAGCACGGTATGGGCCACGGTCAGACGGTGATACGACACGGCGACCGGACCCACGCTCAGAGAGCGATGCGACACGGCACGACACGGCCCTCCGGTCATGGGGTAACACGACCATTATCATAGGCACGATACAGCCCGGCACCCAACCACAGTAAGGCACATAGCCACAGCACGTAACTACGCAACAAAGCCACGGCACACATTGTAACACAGTGCAGCGGCAATTAATTAATTATTAGGAAAGAAACAATTATAGTTATTTAAGTGACGTACACGAGTTGTATAAAAGGCTATTGCAGAAAAAAATGTTATCTCATAAAGCGCCAATTTTGATGGTTTTCGTCCTCTTGGCTTCAGAGGCTAATCTGTAGGTTGCTACTGAGGACACATTAGTGAAAGAGCTTTAAAAGAGCAGTATCGATCCTAACACAGCACGCAGCGTCGCAAAGTTACTTCTATAGGGAGAGGGGCTGGTACGGTTCGTCCGGCAACCACTGCAGTGGGCTGGTGCGTGCCCGACCGACCACCACTGGGACTTGTGCATCATGAGCCTGCAGGCCACCACTGAAGCATGGTGCACGCTAGTCTACAGTGACTTCTGGAGGGTTTGGTTCGCGCGCGTTCTGTCACCACTGGGGCTGGTATGGACCCGGCCGGTCACCACCGGGCTGGTGCGGGACTGCCCGGTCACCACAGGGCTGGTGCGGTCCGCCGGGCGCCTGGTGCTGGTCGCCATGCCGTCTCGCCAGGTGTGCGCTGAGACCCGAGGTGCGGCTGAAGACGCGGCCGCAGAGCGGGCAGCGCGTGCGACCCTGGTGGACGGCCCGGTGGTGGCACAGGTTGGTCCGCTGGCTGAACGTTTGGCCGCACGTCTCGCACTCAAAGCGGACCGTCGACACCCGGCCTAGAAACGGGGCTCGGTTAGACGGTATACCAGCAGAGCACCGCTCGCTGCGCCGCCGCCGCCGCCGCCGCCGCCGCCGCCGGACGGAACGACCGCCATGGGTGACCCACCGCCGCCGGTAAGTACCACAGCGCCCTGGTCCGGCCAATCTCATCGCCCTGATCAGTGATCACTGATCCACCCCTTTTTCAGAATCCCGACCGGCCCGAATTCTCATATCCCCGGTCGGGCCCGATCTCAAAGCCTCAGCCGGCCTGATCTCGGCGTCCTAGTCAGCTTGAGCTCAGCAGTACGGAGCTGCCCTCAGCGAAGGAGATTTACCAGCGCACTATGTATGGTGGGTCGCCTTCAGCAGACCAATCCGAATCCGATCAGCCAGCGAGGTTGAATAGATCAGGCCTGAACTGGAAGCACGTGACGGTTGTGACTGTTTCACCATTCTGGAGCAACGAACCGCCCTCCGCAAGCCAGACACTTCCTCTTACACTGCACTGCACGACATGCCTTTGTGTTACAGCAGTTTTGTGATGAGCTATGCTATTTTCAGAATAGAAAGTAAATACTAATACGGCAAGTTCCAGAAGTTGTAGTGTCGCATGAAATCCGTGTCTGGAGTGATTCGTGAGGAACCGATGTCGTGTGTTGAGTGTCGTTTTTAGTTACCGAGTCCTGGCACTGTACCCGCCCTTCAACGCCCTGCACGGAATACAGGCTAAATAGCATCGATGATATCTGGCTTACAATAAAATCACAAACGACGACTTTAAAGTTATGTCTGGTTCGAATACTAAGCCCCAGTGGCTGTTGATTTTCACATCAATAGGTAAGAATTGTCGCACGTAGGCAGACACCGACTTTTGAGAGTGGTCCTCATTTCCAAGTAACCTACGGGTTTTAGGACAATACTTTTCTGTATAACTAGTTAGCCGTAGATGCATATTGCATGTATCATGCCAATGAGCACCACTGATGCTCTTGAACAAGTGAACAAAACAGAACGCAAACGCGGTGCTTGAACTCAGGCTTTCTATTTCGCACTATATCTAATAACCCACTATACTTACTATGCACGTGTACGCCATTCTTTCATCGCTTTTTCCAACGGAAAGCACTACATGTAAGCGCATCAATCAAAACAAAAACCTATCACTTAAATCAAAACAGAAACGTTGGATTATTTCACTCATTTCACAAATGAGCACATGCACAAGAATCTTTCGCCAGTAAATCACAAGCGACGGCCGCCCCCGATCGGGGCAGCGGCGGAGGGCATCAGCCGCCTCTCCGGCAGCACGGTAAGCTGATTGCGGTTAGCGGCTGTAGCGCGCACCTCGTTAGTAGCAGCTGCAGCTGGCAGCGGTCGACTGACCGAGCTGGTCGACACTGAAGGCATCTCGGCCGCAGCTTCCCTACACCACAGCAGCGCTAATTGATCACCCAGCCGGCCCTCCGCAACCAGCGCACAGAAATAATGGCGTATTTTTGGCACAGCAACAGACGACACGCACTTCACGGCTGCCACGGCACACAGCTGGCCGAAACGACCTCACGAGTCCCGACTCCAGCTGCGCTCTCGGCTCGGCCGACCGAATCCCACTCCAGCGGCCGTCCCAGCATGGCACCAGCGCAGGGCGTATCACAGACTACCGGTGCGGTCTGTGGCCGGCGGCGCCACGGCAGTGCCACTGCCTACCTGCCGTCGGCGCGCGCCTAGGGAGCCGCGGTGCCCTCTGCCCGGTCGGCCGAGTGTTCCGGGTGCCGCTGTGCCAGGTGCCGGCGCAGGCCGAACCGCGTGGCGTACACCGCCTGGCACACGTGGCACGTGGTGCGGCCGCGGTGCATGGCCACGTGCTGCGAGTACGAGGCCTGCGTGAAGTCGCGGCCGCACGTGGGACAGTGAATGCGCAGCGCCGAGTCGGCCGAGGCGGCGGCGGCGGCGGCCGACGGTGCGGTGACCCAGGACGGCAGCCAGGAGCGGCCCAGCCGACCTGCCGGCAGCACGCACAAACAGACACATAGGTCAGATCGGCCGCACCGGGCGCCGCGCCGTATCGTCGGCCGCCGCCGCCGCACGGCCGCCGCCCACCCAGCTCGGACATCTGCTTGGAACGGGTTTTCATCCACAGGTTAGGCAGGTAAAGGGGGTAAGGCTCCCGTGGCTGGCTTCAGAAGTGCTTGGTTTGTTTGTTTCTTAGGACAGGTTACGCAAGCTAGGTAATGTCATTCCAGCTTCCCAATGCGGTTCTCAAGCCGGCAAGGCAAGACCAGACTGACGCACACAACAGCGAAGAGGGCGGCCCGTACCCGATCATGCCGGAGGGGGGGGGGGGGGGGGTGAAAAAGGCTGTCCGTACTGGACGAGAGAGGGAAGATAAGTGGCCTTCCGTACCGTCCAGGCAGGGAAGTTACGAGGCCGTATCATCCAAGCGGGGGATATAGGAGGCCGTCCGTACCCGACCAAACTGAGATAGGTACGCCGCTCGCACCAGGTCAGATAGCCGAGATAGGAGGCCGTCCATATCCGGCCACCAGGAGAGATAGGAGACCGTCGTACCGTGCACTCGACAGTGGTAACAGAAATAAGATACATGGAATAGGTATCTTCGCAACTAAGGCCCATCGTTTCGTATTCGCGTCAATATTATCCATCAATCGACCCAATGTCAGGGTGAAATGACCCAATAGTCTTTGCTCGACTCTGCTACCCAGCATCACTGGCAGTTAGTGACGTGAAGGGGAAAGGCCCCTCGGATACTGACCAGCTTAGCACTGAACGAGTGAACAATCACTCGCAGGTAGGTAATGGAGGCTAGAAAGGCGTGAACTACTGAACGATCACAGGCTGGTAAAGAGGTTCAATTTATTCACAAATCAGAACAGTCTTCACTCCTCAGTCTAGGAGTTCATCAGACATTCAGTCAGGGCAGGCACTGGCCACTACGAAGCAAAACTAGAAACAAGAGAAATAAAATAAGCATATCTACATTTCGCTGCTCGACACGAGCATAGCTTGCTGTAATTTTGAGGGCTTAGGCCTTAGGGCTGAGAGCTCGCTGGCATCATACCGCGAGCGTAATGCCGTTACGACATATACGTAATTACACGCGGGTACCACCAGAGTAGAGTGACAGGCCGCTCACCTTCATAAAACTATAAGGTCTACAAGCTGAGACCACCTACGGATAGCTACTACGACACTTTAGTGCCCTGGGTACTACGAGTGTGAGCGGAGTAGCGACGCCATCCACCTGGATTGCAGTTTTCGGCATCTCTTATCGGGAATGCCGCTCGGTAAACCTGGCCTTTTAGAAAGCCTGATAACCGTAGTACAGCAGCTCGAGCCGCAGCGCCGCGGTTCCCGATCAGACGGTTCGCTCAGAGGGGTCCTCCGGGACCGGAGGGAGACGGCGCCCCGGCGGGCGGTGACACCCCGGTCGACGGCGGAGCACCGGCGGGTGGCGGCATCTGCACCGGCGGCGAAACACCGACCGGTGACGGCGCCCCGGTGGGCGCGTGCGACAGGGCCCCGGCCCCGGCCGTCGTGTACGGCGCAGTCCCGGCACCGGCTGTAGTCTGCGGCGCGGCCCCGGCCCCGGACGGTGACGCGGTGATGCCGTGCCGCGAGGCCAGGTGGTTGCGCAGGTACCAGCGCGAGCAGTAGACCACGCCGCAGAGGTGGCAGCGCGTCTCGCCGCGGTGCACGGCGCGGTGCGTGCTCAGCGCGATGGCGCTGCGGAACTGGCGCGGGCACTGGTCGCACGGGTGCACGGCCGCCGCCACCGGGACCCCTGCCGGCAGGCGGCACAGCGTCAGCAGCGCCCGGGGTCGGGCGGACGGCACAGCGCGCGCGGACCGGCCCAAACGCAGGGACAGGGCGGGCGTGGAACGGCCCCACCGCGCCGCCGGGATGGGGTACAGAGCGGCCCAGAGCGGTCCCACCGCGCCGCTGGGATAGGGTACAGAATGGCCCCACCGCCGGGACACTTGAGTCCGATCCGAGCACACCGCCAGCGGCCACCGGCCACGCCGGTAAGTGACAGAGTCTCAGGTCATTGATAGTGTTACTGTTGATTGAAAGTGTTGATTGGTAGTGTTGATTCATTTTTTATTTCAATACAGAGAAACATCCAGATACATCCATGAGCAGTTGGAATGCCAAATAAGTACATCGTCTAACAGGACAAAAATACCAAACTTCACCAAATCCCAGCCCTGGCGACTCTTAGCAGGAAAGGGATACACTTGAAACAATCAGTTTATGGCTTTGATTCGCGCTCAAAACTCATTTCAAAAGAGGAAATGTAGAAAAAAGTGGCACATCGGAGGTTACAATCTAACAGAAATTACCGCAAACGTCGAGCGCCGCAACAGCTACAGGGAGCCATCAAAGAATCTCCAGGTAGACCGCCCTGCTGACCCACCGGGTCAGTTGATAGTTCCGTTCCTCAGCCTAGCATCTGACGATTGGCAGCCGTAAAAACGTCACGGCAGTTTGAGCCCGATTCGCCACCCGGCGCCGGCGAGCTAGGAAAGGACCAACGCCGCTCGCTGCAGCTGTGGTCGTTCGTGTCTACGGAAATCACGGCAAGAAGCCCAACACTCAGAGACGACTTTGTATAGCAAAAGTTCCCACTCAGCGGCTGATCAGCCCTCACTATTCACTCAACCCTCAGCCACTCGGTCAGCCTTTACACCCCTCCACCCCCACCCACCCACAGCCCAGAGTTCGGCCAGTCCCCATCCCTCGCCCAGCAGTCCTTCACTCGTCAGTCGGTTAGCCCTCGCCCTTCGCCCAGTGACCGGTTCGCCCTTCGCTCCTCGTCAATCGGCTTTCAACCCCCCTTTCTCGCCCCTCTGTCCACTAAAGCAGACCCTTTGGCCAGAGGCCAATCATCCTCGCCAGTTGATATGTCCTGGCCAGGCATCGATGCCAGCGCCTCAGGCAGCAGTCATAATGGCACGGTCAGCTCTCGCCGCGCCAGGGCCTCCAGAGGCCGGTC